TCTCTCTCTCTCTCTCTCTCTCTCTCTCTCTCTCTCTCTCTCTCTCTCTCTCTCTCTCTCTCTGCTTTCTCTCTCTCTCTCTCTGCTCTGCTGTCTTTCCTTACCTGCACTGCAGCAGCTTCCCAGGTATCCTCTCATGTGCACTGTCCTGTCCTCCTGCGGTGCTTGTGTGGCCGAATGTGGCCGACGCTACAGACTGGGAGAGGTGTCCCGCCCCTTTCCGTCTGCGGCGTCTGACACATTCAGCCACACTATCATCGCGGGAGGGAGCTCAGGACAGTGAGCCAATCATGATCTACCAGTGTTTGCTTTGCGATCGACCTAATGGGCACCCCTGCCTTAAAGTGTATTTCCACTTTTGCAGCCGGACTTTGAGAAAACCTCACTATATGTCTGTTATATGTCCCCAATCACATTCACACACCATACCTAAAAAAAAAAAAAATCAAAGGATCTGATTGGATGCAGTCATTGTTCGGCTGATAATTTTCCTCCCAGCTCCTGTGACAATAATTATTTGAAAAATCAACTTCTGCCGAGATGGTTTGTGCCGACAGGGCCACCCGCAGCCTAAATTTTTGTCGATTTAGCAGGAATCAGCTGAAATGAATATGCAAAAATCATCTGGATACACATCCTGTATACAGCATCAAATAAAATACAGAAACATTGACAGTCTCTGGAGGGTGTTTGTTATACACATTGTAATAGTTATCACTTCTGGACCAGAGTAGCTCATTCTGAGCTCAGGGCGAGAGTAGAATTATATCATAGGTCAGGGGTAGGCCACCCTGGCACTCCAGCTATTGTGGAACTACAAGTCCCATGAGGCATTGCAAGACTCTGATACTCACAGGCATGATAGGATTTGATCTTTCATCACAGCTGGAGTACTGAGGTTGCCTCCCCCTGTCATCCTAACGTTTGTGGAATGTAAGTGGACAGTTCCTGTTTCAATACATAATCTTTTCATAGGGCGTGATCTGGATAATTATTAATTTCCACTGGGCTACAGTAGGGGGATGGGCTCATATATGGCTGTGGCTTTATGGGCCATAAACAGTCCCTGTCCAAAACATTCTAGTGTTACCTGCTTCAGCTTTATTTGTTTACCAGCACATACATTAGGTAGGGCTCACATTTCTGTACTGACATTGTATGGTGTGGCTGCAGATTATGTAAAGGGATCTCAGTGGCTCGCACTGCTATGGCTGACACAGGGATGTATTGTAGTGACTGAGCTCTAATTTAGTACTTGGGCAGTAGGGTTGCCACCTTTTCTCCAAGCGAAACACTCCAGCGACGCGCGAACATTTTTTGGGGAGAATGAGTTGCAGCTTATTCATATGTAACTAACGCCACCCATTCATGTGTAAATATCCCATTTGAGACTATTTTCAGGGGGGGGGGGGGGGGGGGGGGCCAGTAGCCCCTATCTCAATTTTGGTTGCCCCTGTCTGCCTGACATCATGTGTCCGGGTTTCTGCTGCCATGAAACCCGGACACAGCATTCAAAACCCGGACTGTCCAGGTGAATCCTGGACAGGTGGCAACCCTAACTTGGGCACCCAGACAGTACTGAATACCCAACAGATTGCCTTTGTAAAAGGATCTACCACCCATCTATATGTCTTCCCTGGAAACAGGTGTAAGTTCCTTCTGAAAATCTGATTCCAGGAATACAATGACAGCAGTCTCCTGCAGTTCTGTGTCAAGTTATCTTCCCCAGCCAGCTCAGACACCGAACAAGAAATGAGTATTTAGTGTAACTTTACAAATCTACAATACATCAATAAAATCTTGGCATGATTGCCTTCCAAGGTCCTCGTCCAGGAGATTCTTGCAGGGTGACAACTTTCTTTACAACGTGCATGCATTCCCTGCTGATCAGAACTGACAGGCGCCCGTGTGAAAGGGGGCTGAAAGCCCTGATGAAGGGGGATTGTTGAGTCCCCGAAACATTTAATAGACTGCAAAGGTGTGAATGGGGACTAAAAGTTCAGTCAGAGTATTGCATTATAACATTGGTGCAACACATGTCCAAGTGTCACTCATGGTGCACTGCAGGGCAGGGGCGTCCCGAGGCCGGGTGTCACCCGGAGCAGAGACCGGGTGACACCCCTGCAGCGACATCATCGCGCATGCACGTGACGTCACCACGCACATGCACGATGACATAGTGCATGTGCGGCCATCTAATTGACGCTTGCCGGTGGCTGTCTTGGTGATGGACGCCGGCAGAGAGAGGAGGGGACGTTCAACCGGTGGGATGAGATATGCTGCCGGGTCCCCTCCTCTCTCCTGACACTGTCGGGCTCTCGGTCCATGACTGACTTTTCATAGGGTGTGACACCAAAATGACTGTCAGCCATTTTGGTGTCACCCCTACAATGGTGTCACCTGGGTGCGGGCCGCACCCCCCCTTGTGACTCCACTACTGCAGGGCACTATACAGCAGCAGCCAATACACCCGCGCAGTAACACATCACAATGCACAGGTTGTTTCTTGTGTTAGCGAGAAAGGGTCATGTGCACTTTTTGGCTGAGGTGCATTGCCAGTCCAGCCATGTAAACACAATGCAACATGAATTCTGTTTTTTCTTCACTGCATGGAGCTTATCTGAACCCCGTTAAATCACCTCCATAAAAACGTGTTTTCGTTGGACAAAGAAATAAAAGTGGCCAATGGGCATTCACCTTAAAATGCGTCCTGAATAATATGATGTTTGATTGCTGCTGTTCCTTGAAGTTGACACATGGCACTCCTGTGTCATTTCCCGG